CGCACCACAAATTGGGATCCCTCCGGCTGGGATCAGACCTCATCGGCTTTTGGAACCTTGCTTCTTTAATGTTCCTTATAGCCGATATCAACTCTACTACACTGACATTGAAGTTGTACTCTGATAGCCTAGGATAAGAAGGATCCTGTGCACCTAGCGCTTCTTTGTCCTGCAATGATCTGTTGTTCCGACTGCGATCAGTTCTTCTGTCAGTAACGAACCTGTCTGCCGATCGGAGACCTCTGCCGTGTCCTTCGGCCCATTCATAGGGCAAAAACCAGCTCCTCGAAGGTCGTCTATCCATGTCGAAATCGTCTTTTAATTTTTCTTTATTCTTCTTCCGACCTTTTGTTGACGCTGGGAAGCCAATATGATCATCTTCAATCCTTATCTTAGATTTGTACCAGTTGTGAACAACCACCCAAGTTGTCTCTTGAAATTCAAGCAAGCTTTTCTTCAGTTTTCGGAAAGTGTCTTAACTTCTCGGATTCAGACCCTTGGTGAATGCCTCAGACACCATTCATCCGAAACGACCGGGAGCAACATCTTCTCCTTTTAGAAATGGGTGACGAACTCCCGCAGTAACTCGAATTCTCCTTGTGCAATTGTGAAAATGTCAACCTTTTAATCCTGCGCCTTTCTGGCCCCAGCATGAGCCTAAATAAAAGAGTGTGCGAGCTTCTCAAAGGAATCTATGGAATGCTCGGGTAACAGCGAATACTAAGTCAAGGCTCCCCTCGTGAGAGTTTCTCCAAATTTCTTCAGTAAAACAGACTCAATCTCGTGGGAGGCTAAATCATTCCCCTTCATCGTCGTTGTATAGGTGATAATATGCTCGTGAAGGTCTGAAGTCCCGTCATACTTCGGCTCGTCGGGTATTTCAAAACGCTTCGGGATTAATTCTGGTGCCGCACTCGATTTGTAAGACAACTGAGTATACTTCTTCGAGTCCGTTCCTTTCAACACCGGTGGTGCACCCGAGATTTGGTCCATGCGGGCATCCACTTCCCTCATAAACCATAAGAGTTCGATCTTGAACTGACCGTTCTTGTTGCTGGGGCCGAATATGCTCTCCCAGCCCCATCGGAGCCAACCTCACCCCTCGGGGTGTTGTTGTCGACCCTCTGCATTGCTTGATTTGCGGGAGCCGGGAGGAACTGGACCTCGTCTATTCGCGTTATTGGAACCCCCGATAATGCCTGCTTCAATTCCGTCATAACCTTATCCTGGCGTATGAGGTGGACTAAGATGATCGCTTGTTGCTCTTGTAGGACCCTTATCGCATCAACAACATGCTCCTCTTCAGCATCATCGGGAGTCTTCTCCCGAACATGTCGTGGGTACCGCTTGTCGTGGACCGGCGAGGCATCGTTCCCCTAATTGTGGGTGTCACTGACTGAATCCTCGTGATGAGGCTGGTCTCCTTGAACCTCAGGATTGTGCGTGTTGTTAACACCATTATCTGCCATTTTTATGATTTTTTGCTAAGACAAATAATCAAAACACGTTAGTAAAAGAGGAAAGGATCAACTTAATTACATGGCTTTCTAGGCCCCACGATGGGCGCCAAACTGTTTGCCCATAAAATAGTACAGTTGAATTTATACGTGATTTCTAGACAAGTGAATTAATTTGATCCTGAAATAATAAAATAATTGATAAAATACGAAATACTTAGCCTTGAAATGAAGACAAAATAGCAGGAACAATAATTCCGGGAGCAAGACTTCAGGGCACAACAACGATGAAATCAAGGAAATAAGAAGATAAAATTATATAGAACTTTGGATTGATTATATCATAAGTTTGTTAGAAAATTTGTGTCCTTTACAATGATAACAGAGCCCACTATTTATAGCTGAACCTAGGGAACAAGGTCCTAGGATCATGCCCTTCTTTAATGTCAATTATGAAGGCCATTGAAGAAGGTGTAACGGTGAGCATAAATGATAAATTCTCTGTAACGGGCAATGTACTAAATGCTGTGGAATATTCCCCACTAAATACTACCGGGCGGAGGGTATTTATTACATCTTCATGAGTGTCATTCTTTCCGGTGACAAGTGGAATAATTGTCTTCTGTGCTACCTATCCACTGCTCGCGGCTCCACGCGTCATTCTCTTAAGCGACCACTTGGTATATCATATTTTACCATATACAGCCGGGGCAAAAGATGTTCTCAAATCTCAGCTACTTTACTTTTTTCATAACCCAAATTTCAATCAAGAATGGACCATAATCTATGCTATTCTTATTCTTAAATCATTCTGGTTGAGCTTTTTAATACTGAAACTTACTACTAGTAATTTTTCATTTGAAAGATATTTTTTCTTTCTGTTTTTTGCTAGCTAGTCGTCTCACGGCTGTTGTCTGTTTGAGATTTTACTGAAGTAGTATTTGTTATGACTTATGAGTTGTCTCAGTCACCAAACGGGAGACGACTGTTGGCTAAGTTTGTCTCTAGCTGCCTTTCAGTTTGTCTTTTCCAGTCTGTTATGGGAAACTTACAGAGAAGGCAGCAAAGTGTATCATAAATTCACATGATATTGATAAGGAAGTTCCAGTTTTTGGCTTATCCCTCCTTATCTCAAACCTCAATTCTTTTCTCTTTTTGATAATATTTATAGCATCTATCAATCTATTACTTCTACTGTGTTTAGGGGTCGTTTGGTAGGATGTATTAGGGAAAATAATATATGTATTAGTTTTGGTATTATTAATTCCTTATTTGGTAGTATTTCTCACCTATGTATTATTCAGTATTATTCTTATACATAGCACATAGCAAACCATAACTGTCATTTCAAAACCTTTTCCAAATCTTTCCAAAGAATGTATAGTGTATTTTTATAAACAAATAATTTTAAAAAATATATTATGCAATGTATATTTTTTAATATACCAAACTAAATAGTCGATAAAAAATAATCTCAACATTACTAATCCCATAATTACTAGTACACCTTATTCAATACTGCTCTTATACACCCTATCAGATGATCCCTTAAAGTCTTACGTGTAAGATACGATAAATTTCATCAACAAATTTACATCTGATTGACATTGCATATAGTTAATAAACCAATCAGTGTAATTTAACTTGTGGTAACCAAATTGATTGTCTTATTCTTTAGGTAAATAGTAGATCAACTTATTATGGCCAATTTCAGTTAATTTTTAAAAGACCTATAGTGTAGTTTTTTGTTTTTTTGACATTATTAATTTATAAAAGCTACACTTTCACCGAATAATACTTATTTTTAATCTCCGAACAATCTCTCTGTCTCTCTCACACACATAAACACAACATTGCATGTGAAATTTAGAGTCTTTTCAATTTTTGTTGACTTTCTGATGCTGACAACCTGCTATACGGATGCCAAGCATTTCTTGTTATCCATGCAGAGACAGAAGCAGAGGCGGAGCTAGCTTACAAGGTGTGGGCTCGACCGAATCCAGTTATTTATGCTTAAACATTGTATTTGTACTAGAAAATTTATTAAATATGAATAAATATTTAATTATGAACTCAATAACTAAGATGAGTTATGGGTTTTGTGGCAGATGCAGAACCCATAAACTTCAAATTCTAGCTCCTCCTCTGAACAGAAATACTCCAATTTGTAAACTATGCAAATGAAAAAGTTTGGATAATATCAGAAAATTAAATCCCATTCGCCTGCAAGGGTTGGCTGCACTGGTTGGGTGAGCGATTTTTCACATGGGAGACCTAAGATCGATTCCCCTCACCATCCTCCTTAGTCAGATAACATTACACATGGATTGCCTAGTGCGGTTTATGAAAACATGAGAGAATCGATCGTGATTTGAGAAATTGTATTAGAGTTTACGTGAGAGAAAAAGGGAGAAGAAAAGATCTTTCGAGATCTGTTTTGGAAAAAATAACCCCGATGACCGTGATCCGGGTTGACCCTTCTTATTATATATGCCCCAAAATACAAATGACTAATACAATATAAATCTGAATAAGTTAACTACTAAAATATAAACGGTCCAGTTCCGTAATTACAATAGGCCCAATTACAAGTAAAATAAATAAAAGGTTATTCTCATCAGTCTTTCCTTTTGGGCACACATGCCAAATAGTTCATGAGTCCAACACCCCCCCTTCAAGTTGGAGGGAGATAACACTTGCAACTTGCGAAGAAATTGGTGATGAAGCAGCCCAATTAAAGGTTTTGTGAGAACATCAGCAAGCTGCTTTGAAGTAGAAACATGAGAAAGTTGAATGAAACCATTAGAAAGTTTCCTTCGAACAAAGTGACAATCGACCTCAATATGTTTCGTCCGCTCGTGAAAAATAAAATTTTTGGTAATATGAACAGCTGCTTGGTTGTCACAAAATACAGAAATAGGATAAGAGACCTGAACACCAAAATCAGCTAGAACCCGTGCAAGCCAAGTCAATTTAGCCACCACCTTATTGAGTGCTGTATATTCAACCTCAACATAAGATAGAGACACTACAGGCTGCTTCTTAAACTTCTAAGAGATTAATCTATCACCCAAAAACACACAAAATACAGTAACAGACCGCCTGGTGTCCGGGTAGGCTGCCCAATCACTGTCTGAATAAGCTGAGATAGTGAAATCAGAGGAGTTAGAGTAGAATAAGCCAAGATTAGGTGTGCCCTTGAGGTACCGCAACATATGTAGAGCACCAGCCATATGAGGGACTCTTGGAGATTAAAGAAACTGACTAAGATGTTCTACCCCAAAACAAATATCAGGCCTAGTGCGGGTTAGGAATAACAACTTCCCAACCAGACTCCTATATCTCTCAGGTTGACCCGGATCACGGTCATCGGGGTTTGGAGTTTAAGTCCAAAGGACAAACAACAGAAGCAACCTCTAGACAATCAAATTTCCTCAAAAGATCAGATACAAATTTCCTCTGATTTAGAAGCACACCACCTGGTAAAGAAGAAACCTCAATCCCCAAAAAATAATGAAGAGTGTCCAGATATTTGATTTTGAACTAGGCATCCAGAAATGACTTCAAAGCATTAATTTCAGCAAGATAATCTCCAGTTAATATTATATCATCAACATAGACAGCAATGATAACCATATGACCAGGAGAACCCTTGATGAATAAGGAGTAATCATTAAGGGAATGAGTATAACCTCTAGAGTAGAGAGCTTGAGAAAGCTCACCATACCATTGCCTTGAGGCTTGTCTCAAGCCATATAGGGACTTTTGTAAATGATAAACTAAGGTAGAAGAGGAAGAATATGGGGCAGTAGTGACAGAAAGACCAGGAGGAAGCTTTATATAGACTTCCTCATCTAAATCATTCTTAACTGCAACAACCACCAGACACTTAACAGTGGACATCTTTACAATAGGGAAAAAAGTTTCATTAAAGTCCACCCTCTCAACTTGGGTGTCACCCTTAATAACAAGCCTAGATTTATATCTTTCAATAGTGTCATCGGCCTTATACTTAATCTTATAGACCCACTTACATCTAATAAGTTTCTTCCCACTAGACAAAGCAACAATGTTGGCCTCTAGGGCCTCAAACTCTTTCCTCATAGCATCCTGCCAAGTAGGTATAGGTGCAGCTTGGGAATAAGTAGAGGGTTCAAAAGTGGCAGGGGGACTCAAAGTAGTGATGCAAGAGAAGGAAGGTGGCAAATGGCAAACATAATCATTCAAGTGGGGAGGAAGATGATGAGTTCTGTTAGACCTTCTGAGAGGGCCAACATCAGGATCAGCTGCTGTAGGAACAGAGGAAGGAATAACAAGTGAATAAGCTGAACAGAAATAGGAGAAGGAATAGGATCAGAGGGAAGAGAAGGTGAATCAGAAATAGGAGAAGGAGGGGAAGTGGGCACAGGAAAAGTTGGAGCAGAAGTGGGAGGAACAAGATCAGGAGAGGGAGAAGTAAAAGGAAAAGAATCAGGAGGAGGTGAAGGTGGTGGGAATGTAACATGGGCTTGTTATTGGGTATCACCGCTAATAACAAGCCTAGATTTATATCTTTCAATAGTGTCATCAGCCTTATACTTAATCTTATAGACCCACTTACATCCAATAAGTTTCTTCCCACTAGGCAAAGCAACAATGTTGGCCTCTAGGGCCTCAAACTCTTTCCTCGGAGCATCCTTCCAAGCAGGTATAGGTGCAGCTTGGGAATAAGTAATGGGTTCAAAAGTGGCAGGGGGACTCAGAGTAGTGATGCAAGAGAAGGAAGGTGGCAAATAGCAAACATAATCATTCAAGTAGGGAGGAAGATGATGAGTTTTGTCTGACCTTCTGAGAGGGCCAGCATCAGGAGCAACTGCTGTAGGAACAGAGGAAGGAATAACAAGTAAAGGAGCTGAATCAGAAACAGGAGAAGGAATATGATCAGAGGGAAGAGAGGGTGAATCAGAAATAGGAGAAGGAGGGGAAGCAAGCACAGGAAAAGTAGGAGCAGAAGTGGGAGGAGCAAGATCAGAATGGGAGAAGTAAAAGGAAAAGAATCAGGAGGAGGTGAAGGTGGTGGGAATGTAACAAGGGCTTGGGAAACAGGGGAGGAAGAAGAAAAGGGGAAGACATCTTCATGGAAAACCAGATCCATGGACACAAAGAACTACTTGTTTTCTATGTTATAAAGTTTGTAACCCTTCTTGGCAAAGGGATAACCAAGGAAGACACAAGACATCACTCTGGTTTTCAATTTGTCCCTATGAGGAATAGAAATAGTAGCATAGGCCAGACATCCAAAAGTTTTTAAGTGAGAATAAGAAAGAGTTTTATTGTAAAGGACTTCAAAAGGTGACTAATTGTGAAGGAGCCTAGATGGGAGTCTGTTGATGATATAAGTTGATGTGAGCAAACAATCCTCCCAAAACCTAATAGGAGCCTTGGATTGAAAAGGCAAAGCTCTACAGGCCTCAAGTAAGGTTCTATGCTTCCTTTCAACCACCCCATTTTGTTGTTGTGTATGGGGACAAGTAGTTTGATGGATGATACTATTGTCAGAGAAATAAGAAATAGCAGAATGGCTACCCCCAAGTTCTAGGGCATTGTCACTCCTAATTGTTTGGATAGTAATGTGAAATTGAGTTTTGACAATGGCCACTAAAGCTTTAATCAAGGAAAATGCATTATTTTTGGAACTGCTTAGATGAGTCCAAGAAGATCTATAAAAATCATCAACTATGGTTAGGAAATATCTAGAACCAGAATGTGTAGGAGTGTGATAGGTTCCCCAAGTATCCACATGTATAAGTTGAAAAGGATGAGTACTATGAATGGAACTATCAGGGAAAGGGAGTCTGGTTTGTCTAGCCATAGGACATATTTCATAAGGAAAGTGTTGCTTAGAAGATAAAGAGGAAAATATAATAGGGATGCCCTTCATTCTAACAAAAGGAACATGTGCAAGTCTTTGGTGCCAAATAATGTCCATTTTATTCAATGCAGCTTCATTACAAGGTGGAACATATTGAGACAAAGCATTTTGAGAAGAACTAGAGTTACACAATGAAGAACCAAAACTAGGATCAACAATACTAGAAGGTAAAGATGGAAAACTACATATAGTAGGCATAGTAAAATCATTTTGAGCTAAAGAAGAAAAGGCAGTAGTGAAGGCAAACTTGTAAAGCCCATCCTCTTGCTTACCAAGCTCTAGAGGCATCTTCAAAGAAGGACCTTGTAGCAAGCAAGAGTCAGAACTAAACTGTGCTATGCATCTCAATAACAAAATAAGTTTTTGCGCAGATATCAGATTATGTTTAAAATAAGGAATGTAAAGAACATCTGGAAGAATAATGGAAGGATATAAAGAAAAAGACCCAGTGCAAGTAACTTTAACTTTATATCCATTAGGAAGTGTGACAAGGTAAGGAATAGGCAAACGTGTAATGTTGGTTAGAAGGTCCTTGTTATAAGTCATGTGGTCAGATGCTCCTTAATCAATAATCCATTTATTAGGTAAGGACTGACTTAACATGCAAGCTAGAGAATAAGTGAGCATATTACCAGCAAAATTGGCAGAAGTCATGAAGTCAGATTGAGGTGCAGAATCATATGCATGAGAGTGTTGTAAAAGAGCCATTAACTGAGAATATTGCTGCTTGGTTAAACCAGATACCAATGAACCTTGTGCATCATTGTTAGTAGTTCCAACAGCAGAAAGAGAAGGAAAATTTGTACAATCATCAGGAGAAAAATCTGTTCCAACAGTTGCATTTCCTGCAATTTTCTTTGTTTTGGTGAATTTAAAATTAGGAGGAAAATCATGAAACTTGAAGCACTTATCAATTAAATGCCCACTCTTCTTACAATATCTACAGAATAGATTCCCTTTGGCTTGATCAAAGTTCACTCTTTGGACATATTGTCTGTGAGTGTTAGAACCAGGAGGCTTATAATTTGTGTTGGGATTAGACTGATGGTTGAGGTTGATTTTGGCAGTGAAGGCAGCTGAATCAGAACCAAATTGAGAATTGGAATTGATCTGCCTCTGCCTTTTATCTTGAAGAAGAATGTTATATGCACTGTCTAGTGTTGGAGGTGGTTGCATCATGAGCAAGTTACTCCTGACACTAACATAGACTTCATTCAGTCCCATGAGAAACTGATAAAGTCTATCCTCTTCCTCCTCTTTGAGAATACCTTCCTTTGCACCACAAGTGCAGTGATTTTCATGATTTTTATGAACATCTCTCAATTCATCCCATAATTTCTTTAATTTGTTAAAGTAGAGGCAACATCTAGGGAACCTTGACAAGTAGAGGCAAGTTCTTTCTTAATTTCAAAGGCTTTAGTTCTACTTACAGTCCCATATCTTTTGTTTAACTGTCTCTATATTTCTTCAGCTATTTCAGAATACTGGACACTATCCGCAATATCAGGAGATAAAGAACTTGTTAACCATGAAATTATCATGTTATTACATGTGTCCCATTACTTAGACTCGATGGAATTATCAGGAGGTTTAGGCAAACTACCATCAACAAACACAATTTTGTTCCTAGCAGACAGAGAAACAATGATACTCCTTTTCTAACCCCCAAAATTTGTCCCAGAGAAAGGAACTGGTACAAGTGAAACACTAGGGACATTTGAAGAATGAACAAACAAGGGACTAGAGGGTTTGGGAATGAACTCACGTGTGCCAGATGCACTACTCATATCAAAAATCAGTAGATCCCATAGCTACTATATCATTCAACAATGAATACTTATCTGATGATTATCATGCAAAGAGGAGAGATATACAGAGTTACTGGTTTCTTCGCGATTAGAAGTACGACCTTAAAAATAACACTTCACAGCAATACAACAACTACGATTGATGAAACAGGATGAAGTCGTAAAACCCTAGAATTCTCGAGCTTAACGACAACTACGCAAACATGTAGATAAACCTCCACAAGAAGAAGAGTGAGAAACACATGCCAGAAGACACTGAGATGAGTAAAAAATGAACCAGAAATCCAATGAAACAGTATGTAGAACTCCAAATCGTTACCCACACGAATTGAAATCTTCAACGAAACTCGATGAGGGTAACTTCGAAAGATAGAGGAGGACGAGATGGACTAGAATCTTGCTCTGATACCATGAAAATATGAGAGAATCGATCGGTATTTGAGAAATTTTATTTGGGTTTACGTGAGAGAAAAGGGAGAAGAAAAGATCTTTCTAGATCTGTTTTGGAGAAAATGACCTCGATGGCCGTGATATGGGTTGACCCTTCTTATTATATATGGCCCAAAATACAAATGACTAATACAATGTAAATCTGAACAAGTTAACTACTAAAATATAAATGGGCCAGTTCTGTAATTACAATAGGTCCAATTACAAGTAAAATAAATAAAAGGTTATTCTGATCAGTCTTTCCTTTTGGGCCCAGATGCCAAATAGTTCATGTGTAACGACCCGACCAGTCGTTTTGAGCTTCAGCATGTCGTTTGGTGGTTTGAGGCCTTAAGTAGCTTCACTTCAGGTATTATGACTTGTACGCGTGGTCAGAATTTAATTTCGGGAAGTTCGGAGTTGATTTGGAAAGAAACTTCTCATTTCGAAAGCTTTAAGTTGAAAGAATTGACTAAGGTTGGATTTTTGAGTAAACGATCTCGGAATCGAGATTTGAAGGTTCCAACATGTTCGTATGATGAATTCGGACTTGGGCGTATGTCCGGATCAAGTTTTGGATGACCCGCTAGCGTTTCGGAGCCTATCGTGGAAGTTGGCATTTCGGAAGAATTTCACAAATTTGGGTTTCAATGTTATCGATGTTCGTTTGGGATTCCGAGTCTGGAAATAACTCCATATGGTGATTCTGGTATTGGGAGCGCATCCGGACGTGGATTTGGAGGTCCGTAGGTTATTTTGGAGTCATTTGGCTAAGGTTGGAAATTTGAAGGTTTTAGAGGAGTTTGACCGGAAGTGGACTTTTTGATATCGGGGTCAGAATTCGATTTCGAAAATTGGAATAGGTCCAAAATGTCAAATGTGACTTGTGTGTAAAATTTGAGGACAATCGGGCATGATTTGATAGGTTTCAACATTGATTGTAAAAGTTGAAGTTTCAAAGTTCATTAAGTTTGAATTGGGGTGCAATTCATGATTTCGATGTTGTTTGATGTGATTTGAGGTCTCGAGCAAGATTGTGTTATGTTATGGGACTGGTTGGTATGATTGGACGGGGTTCAGGGGGTCCCGGGGGCCTCGGATATGTTTTGGGGTGGTTTCGGACCAAAATGGGATGATTTGTTGCTGCTGTATCTGGTATCTGGTTTCCTTCTTCGCGAACGCGAAGGGAGTCCCGCATTCGCGAAGAGGAACTTTGAGGCTGCTGGGATTTGGCCTTCGCGAACACGAAGGTTGAGATGCAAACGCGGTGAAGAACTTGAGGAACCTACGCGAACGCGAGTGGGGAGTCGCGAACGCGTAGAAGGAAATGAGGACTGGGCCTGAGGATGTTTGGCCTACACGGACGTGAGGCTGGGTATGCGAACGCGAAGTAGTGAGGGCGGAAAGCTTCGCGAACGCGTCGTGAGGAACGCGAACGCGAAGAGGAAATTTGGGGACAGTGTGTCTTTGGCCTTCGCGATCGCGATGGTCTTTCTACGATCGCGAAGAAGGGCGGACCTGGGCAGTGAAGTTTTATATACGAGATTTGGCCATTTTCCTCCACATTTTATTTTGGTTGGGCAATTTTTGGAGCTTTTGAAGAGGAGATTTCATCATCTATAATGAGGTAAGTAATTCCCGATTCATTGTGAGTTAAATATATGGATTAAACATGAAAATTTGTAGAAATTGTGGGGTTCTGGTAGGAAACCTAGAAATTGGTATTCTTGGATTTTGATCACGAAATGGAAAATAAATTATATATTTGAGTTCGTGAGGTTATGGGTAAAGTTTATCTTCAAAAATTTTCGGAACCCGGGCACGTGATCCCGAGGGTGATTTTATCAACTTTTCGAACGGAGTTAGAAATTGTTATAAAATGATTAATTATGAGTATTCGAGTATATTTTGATTGGGTTGCAACTTATTTGACTAGTTTTGGAGCGACGAGCGTCGGTTTGAGGTGTTAGAAAGGTTTTGGAGCCGGTTATGGAATTTCGGAGCGAGGTAAGTCTCCTTCCTAACCTTATAAGAGGGAATTAACCCTATAGGTGAATTAAATATTGTGTGCTTCTATTTGAGGGGTTGTGGGGGCTACGTACGCACGAGGTGACGAGAGTCCATGCGTAGCTACTAGCTATGCCTATGTCCGGGTAGTTTTAGGCTCACATCATGCCTTATTGATATTGTTATTGATTTATGTTTATTGTCCGCCTCGAGAGGGAGCGAGATTGAGTTTGCTTATTAAATATTTTGAAAGGAATTGAAATTGAAGAACTTAAGATTTAAAAGGTTTCATTTGAACTTCGTAACTTCGAAAAGGATTGAGTAATGCTATAATAGCTTAAGAAATCTATGTGCAACCGCGTTGTATGTATGTTTCGCGAGCGGGGTAATTTCCTTAAAAGGCTACAAGATGAATTTCCCATATTTTTGAAAAGAATCAAGAAAGAGATATCATCTTAATGTTAAATTTATATTTGACCGCGTCGCAAGTATGATCCGCGAGCGGGGAGATTCCTTAAATTTATATTTGACCGCGTCGCACGTATGATTCGCGAGCGGGGTATTTCCTTCTACCACTCATATGGGATCGGGCCGTTCGCCTCGGCAGAATTTATGTACCACACTCTCATGGAAGCGGGCCATTATCCTCGGCAAGTTAATAGATGCATCTATGGTTCGCGTCGTTCGACCCTCGGCAGTGCTCAGTTTACTTTTATGTTGGATCGGGCCGTACACCTCGGCACTTTCTATATATATATATTATCCTCATGGAATCGTGCGTAATATTTGGCAAGAAGCCAGTGTATCTG